GTGATTGAATGAATGAGCTGATCAATGAAACGTCGAATGGGTGAATAAAATAAATGGTGGATAAATGGTCGAGTAATTTTTGAATTAATATGATAAATACAACAAATAAATAAATATGTAAATGAATGAAAGAACGAGAAACGAATAAAATTAGTCAGTTGTTTCTACGGTTTAATAAAGCAGGCGATCATGCCAGTTATGGTCCAAACCGCTAAACTTACCGAAATGATCGATTCAAAGCAAGTTTAGCAACACATTCGCTTCAGCTTATGCAAAACATTTTTTACGACGTTCCCAGTTTTTAAAATGAACCGGAATTACAGCCCATTTGTTAGATCCATGAACTTCTAGATTTGAACAATCACATGCCGAGATGCTTCTATTGATTATGAGCGGCAAGCAACTTTAAAGTTATGTACCTAGCAAACTCAATAAAGTAGGATCCTTCAGAAGGCGCTTACGTTGAAGTTTTTCTTCATTTATATTAGCTCGGTTTAAATTTGTAGATTATCATATGGTATGATGCATTACTGTAATTTCTTGACGATTTCAATTTTAGAGAAGACTTGTATAGATGTACACAGAGAAACTATTAAGAGAAGCTAAGCAGTTATCAAAAATTAATCACCAGTGACAGGTAACTTTATCTTATAATGTACGTAGTCTACGAGTTGAATCGTCGTAACTGGTCTATAATTCCGAAGTTCAGCATTTTGTACTCTGTTTAGAAAGTACGCTGACAGAAGAATACAATTTCTGATGATTCAGCAGTATTGGAAAGACAGTCTATTGGAATAGATTGACTTCAAAAATCAACGTGAATTTTTATATTCAAAAAGTAAAATATGAAATGGTATATTTGCTACTGCTGCCTATTAATTTGTCAGTTTTCATCTTAGCTGGTTTCACAGTTCCACACTGAGTTACCCATGTGTACATGCAATTGATAAAATTACGAAATTTACATGGCAACTGAAATGAGGAAATCAAATGACCAACGTAATCACGATTAATCGTTAAAGGGTTCAAAGCTATATTAAGAGTTAATTGCGCTCGTTCATAGGGTCGATCAGAATTCTTGTCAAGAAGGATGACAATAGAATGCTTATAGACTACTGTTAGAGCGCGTATGCATACTGACAGAGATCGTGTGCTCGACTGATAGGTACTGGGAAAGAAAAACAATGTTTCTCGCTCTTGGACAGACATGTTGATAATGCCATTCAGCAGTAGTAGAATGATACTTTGGAAATAGAAGAACTTCAAGGATCTCTGAGCTCTAAGAGAAATGCCAGAAAAAAAATAGCAGCGGCATAAGATATTAAAGACATGACACAAGCCTTCACGAATAGATTCACCAACGAAAATCTGCGCGACAGGGTTCGAAGCCGCCACGAATATCCGAAAGATGCAGGATTCGGTCGCAAATAAGGCCAGCATGTACTCTCTAGTCTAGCGTGCCGTTGATCATATCTCATAGGCATTGCACCGTTGAACCGGACGCTGAGTTTACAACACTAATATTCAGTTCAACCTCAGTCAGTTCCAGAAGTCTCTTCTCGTGACGGCTTTCATGACGAATGCACACTCGGTTGAATTTTGTGCGTTCACGTCCAGAATGGGTGCCTTTCGCTGAAGTTATCAATTCCTTGAACCATTGCAATTGTATATTGATTATCCGGATTATACGTAAAAAAATAAAACTTCTACACAGGAGTGGAAGAGTAAACACCAGCCAGTCGGCAACGTCAGTCATATATTTGTTAACTAAACATTTTCAACGCGGTTCAACCAAAATACAGTGGTCTTCTTTAAAGAAGGCACTGAATAAACAAAATTTTTCATTTTTTCATAAAATGTCATCGATCATTTTCTGGCCGCGCATTGATTATTATTTTCTGATTGAAGCGACCAGTCCTCACCACCATCTAACTTGATAAATTTTTTGCCTCCTTGATTCTCAATCGTACTTACTCAAGCATAATGATATTTTGCTATATCGTACATAATGTATAAAGTGTAATAATATCCTGCAATTAATCGAGAAACTGATGCTAATTTACGTGTCGTTGCCAATGTGTCCATCCCAAATCGATTGTCAACCAGGCCATTGGCGACATTACTCTACGTAGCATGGCGTACCTTCTTGCCTTGTATTACATCACCCAGACGATTTGACTGAACGTTGCAAACCAGCCGACGGTTGTATCGATAAATGAGCGCGCTGCAACGCAGCAGCAGCTCGAAGCAGATTCGGTTAGTAACATGGATATCGTGGTTTCTAGTTACCAGTCTCGGCCCATTTAAAGCGACTGAAGCCGGATTTTGGCAGCAATAGCGCCAGTTTGCAGCCGTCATGTTCGCTTTGACAAGTTTACATACCGGATACGATGCTAATGCTGCGGCACCAGCCAAGCTGCTCAAATCACTGGAAGGCGCTTGGTTCGAAAAGGTTCTTCTACAAAGAACAACGGACTGTACGATGTGCCTCATCTCTCACTTCTAGAAGGATTGCCTCCTTGAAGAATAAATAGTACAAATAACTTAGTAAGTTCGACCAGGTTTCATGCCTGGAATAACTCGAAATTATAGCAATACCTTCGAGATGATAATTTGAAACGTACGTTCTGATTATGGATCAAATGCTGGACTGCTGAACGTCTGGATATCTACCTGTCGTCGCATTATCTCTGAAATTTTGAAATCTCACGAAATTTACTTGATGGAAATTTTAGCTTGGTCACGGCTATCATCGGAATCGACGAATCCCGCTCGGCCATCTGCATGTCTGATGCAATTGCATGCTGAACCTGACGAACATGACTGACTGTTTTCATAAGTATGAATTTTAGCTGTAGTATGTTTTCTTAAAAAATTTGCATGTTTGGCTGCTCTTTACAAGCTAAGATTGAATTTGATCCGGGCAAACGATAGGAGCGAGCCTTGCTGCTCATTTTGCCACCTTTCAGAAAGGTACCTAAGTTTTTGCCCTGTGCTTCTATTCCAATGAGCTTGGTGAAATAGCGTTAACTTCCTTCACATTTCATATCACAATCTCAGATGCTGGGCAGTTTTGAAGTTTGAATTGTGCTGCTTGTCGTATTCCAAACAGTTCAGTTTTTTTCATAATATTCACGCTCACGTGTATTTTTAAAATTTATGAACGTTCCGCTGCCTCTTCACTTGCAGTGCAGTGCAATAATTTTAATAAGAACAATTAGTTTCTATGTAAATTCGGTCTTTATGTAGATCTGCTTATCTGCAGCTTCAGTACCAGCCTGTTCCATGTGCATGTTAGATCAAAATATCGAAAAAATGACGGATTTTTCACTTCTTTTCGACAGAGCCATTGCGAATGCACTATAATTACTATAAATGCAGACGTAGTGAAAGGAACCAAAGAAAATTGGCTCAATGCTTGAACGCGGCTGCACTCAAAGTAAAATATATGA